CGTCTATTGTGATTGCATCTGTATATTAAATATGTTCATGGATCATTATCCAGTACACTTATATACTGGTGTCATTGCTTTGAAAATTACAAGATAATGATACAATTACTATAATGCACGAGACGCTTATAAATAGAGATCACAATGACTTAAATGGTCATAAAAAGATAAATGATATGTTGGATGGATGTGTGTACATATATTATTGTTGTTTATATTCAAGAACATATGCAGATACGTTTTTTATTCTGAGACTGCAGCAATATAGAAATACTTGTATATAAGAGTGTGTAGAATAAATGATGATAATTATGACAGGGTGTGGCTTTTTAAAAAGTTTGAAGCATAGCATTATCTGCTTTTACCAGAGGTATTTATGACGTTTTGAGTTAAACCTCATCTTGTCCTGATATTTGGCAGACTCTTTACTGATTCAGAATACATTTGAGAGAATAAACGGATCATCTATTTCTGCCATTGTGAATATGATGCAGTTTGACACATACTTCTGTTTTTAATGACTTAACAGCTGAAATCGTGCACTTTCAAATCTCTAGGTTGAACTGAATCCGGTCAAAGTGAGGTATACATTCAGGGTGGTGAAAAAGCTCATTTAGAGACACTGTGAATATCGGCATCTTTAATCCTGAAACAGGAGCTATCGAGGAATGGCTGAGAGGAGAAACTGACACTGTGGTGTTACTCAAACTGTCAGAAAGACATATTTCACTGGTTCATATGTTTTATTTACTATTCAGGATTTAAATGAGCTCTATATGAAATCTGCATATTGAAAAAAAGTTAAATAATCTGTTAAATGTTCACAAAAGGTGGAGAAGACTAAACAGAGGAACATTGTTAATTTAAAAGCTGCCCAAAAAAACCAAACAAAATCTAAATGAAATACTGAAAGGTCAGATGTGGTGACCCTGAAGCTAGGAGCATTCATAATCAACACATCAGACCCATAGGTGCCTTTAATGAGTGCAATTCATACACATATTTAAATATACATTATCAAATGAGACTTTTTATTTTTTTCCCAAAGGAAGGATTATAATTGTGTGTTAAATGTTGCACTCAAAAGTATGCAATATTCCAGCTGCATTAGGATACAGAAAAGCAGATGATATTATATTAAATTAAACTCCAAATCGAGTATCTGCAAACATTTTTTTTTTAAATGCCAGTAACTTTTACAATATATTTAATTAAATATTTCCAAAAAAGAAATCAAGTATTGAGCAAGATTCTCTAATTAAAAAGGCCAGAGTAAAGAGGAAAAACACCATAACAGAAACATATTAACTGTTATTAATGACAAACAGTGGAAACAGATTTCATACTTTCTTAAGTCTTACATTTTAATATTTTACTGCAAATATCTACATATATAATTTACAACAAGCGAGTAATGTGGATTGCAGTTAGATTTGAGATTTAGCGTGCTGGCTTTGCCATATTTTTTAAATTAGAATAATACTTTATTAGACAATCTGTCACTCGATAAATCATGATTTTGAAATGCGGTAAAATAAAACAATATTTTGTGTAAATTCAGTTAAATATGATCAATTCTAGCAAATATTCAGAGTTTATATGCTGAGAAAACTCTACTCTCTACGGGAGAAAAGCCTTTGATATTTCATTTCGCCCATCATAAGACAGTAAAACTCGGGAGTGAAACCAGACGGCTGTAATTATTGAAGACTTGGAGGCACTTTAAAGCTTCAGCATAACACTGAAACTCTTTATTCATTCATTACCGTGTCGAAAGGAAGACGAAGTTTAGTTAAAACACTAAAAATACCGTCTGATGGTCAGGAGTTTCATCTGGCTGTGATGTCAGAGAAGCCTCCTTTGTGTTTTTATATTGAATAAACGTGAACATTGGTCAGTTTTCAGTGAGAGAAAAGGAGAAGTGTTTGCATGAGGGAAGAGTTTCAAACTGTAGGGTGCAGCAGTCGTCTTTCTAACAGGAAGCAGAGAGCAGACCCCAACACGAGATCCACTGACGGCGTGAAGAAGAACGGGAAGGGGAGGGGAGGAGGGTGTGGGGGGAGAAGAGGGAGGGAGGTGATGTGTAATTACAGACTACATACCAACACCCCGTCGTAATTTACATTACTTGATGTCATGGAAAAAATATTAGACGAAGATTGTTTTTTATCTGCGAACAGTAACACCACGGAGGCAATCCAGGCAAGTCATGCAGGATTTGTTCACACACACACGCACGCACACACACACACACACACAACACACACACACACACACACACACACACACACACACACACACACACACACACACACACACACACACACACACTACACACACACACACACACACACACACACACACACACACACACACACACACACACACACACACACACACACACACACACACACACACACACACACACACACACACACACAGTATATCTAGCAGGCCACTTGACCATTTAAGTTGCAGTGATTATGATATTAAGTGACATTAACCTTCCTCCAGCATCACAGACAAGCAGCCAATCAGAGGCTCAGGAGGGCGTCTTGTTGTTTTTTAATAAACATTAGGACGTTTACATTGAGTCTGCTGAATTATATCATACATAGACATTTGTTTTAAATTGCGTTTTCTGTGTATTATGTTCTTTTAATCCAGATTTAATGATGTTGTATTATGGGTACCTTGTGAAGGCACAGTTATTATTATCATTATTCAAATGTTTTGTTATGTTACTGAAGATTCTTAGATTGTTGCATTACTTGATTTATTCTGTCTTTTTTTAGTCTGTTACAGTTGAATATAATTTTTTTTCATCTTATTGTTACTTGTGTATTGGTACATGTGTTACTTGTATGTTTTCTGTATTTAAAAAAATACGTAAACACAAAGTAATCTCACTACTAGCATTTTGAATTGCCTGTGTCTGAAATGTTTACTTAAAACTTCCTATGATTTGTATTAGCAGTTAAAAACCTCACACTCCACCTTGTTTTATATGTGTTTCATGTTTGCATTTGTGTGCAGCGCCAATAAGCAGAACATTCCTGTATTCAGTTGATGGAGGCTTTTCCAGAGCCATTAAAGGGAAAACATGTTTTACTTGGATATACATATGGCTTTCATTTTTCAGATCTGTCATTATATGAGGGTGGAGAGACTAAGGTTGTGACCACACTGTCACTGAAAGCCTCAGAAATGTCAACACCACAATATTGAAACTCCTAATGCAGCTACAGAACTCAAATCTGAATTCCTGATGAGAAAATGACTAAGATTAATATTTTCTGATCAGAAAGGGAACACTAGCTCTTAGTATTGTATGACAGAGTACTGTATGAAGCATTTCAACACTTATTTACATATATTAATAGCACTATTGAATAAGTAACCTGGACTTCCTCTATTTAATATGTATATATACATCATTTTTATTCAATAGTTTGTCTGTTCATGTATTTATAAAAAGTATTTGTATTGATATACACAGTATTAATACAAATAAACCCGCCTTTTCAAAGTCAAAAAGCATTTTTTTTACATTAAGGACATTATTTTAAATAATAATATGTATAAATCAAATTAACTAATAAATTAAATAAATTAGAATTCATAGAAATACATTATTTAAGCGGGTAAAATGACAAAATAAAGACACAGCCATATTTAGTGTTGGATTATGTTACAGATGTATTGAGATAACATGATAATTGACTAAAACAAGCGTCAAAATGATAATTTGTTGACTATAACTACTATAAGTTGTGATAAATGTAAGTTTGACGGCTGTTTGAGTCTGAGAGGATTACATGCAGTTACATTTACAGGCAAGCAGTCACTAATCTGAACACATCCATTCTGAGAGCAGGAGAGAGACTCAGAGTGTTTGTTATGGACAGTGTGTTACAGTTGTTTACTGTGAGGCTAGAACCAGACCAGAATCAGATCAAAGTTCCAGTGAGTCTGAGCCTCTAAGAAATGTATATCAAATATTTGAATCACATCTGTGCAATAACATAACATTCAACACACACAGTTCAATCTGATGCTCGATGTTTCAGAAAGTGCCAAAGAGCTTCTAACTTTTAAATCCGCACGAGTGAAAACACGAGCCTCTTCAATCACGTCAAACTGAAAGTGACGCTGATGCTAGCTCGGATAATTATTCCATCGTGATTCCCTATCTCACTGACAGCCGTCCGGAGTGCCACGAGCCAACTCAAATCATTACATTCAAACCAAATGTATTTTAGAAATGCACTCAAGCTTTCATTTTGAAACATATTTGAGAAATCATCGTGGCTGCCAAAGTTCAAATGGAAGTTTGTTGTGCAGTAGCCAAATGAAATACATATTCATGGTTTAAAGTTTGAATTATAATTGAAATAATTAAAGTCTAACTGATTGGCAATTTTTTTTTTTTTATTGGAGGACATTTCAATAAGCATGTATTTGCAGTTAAACGGGGATAATTTGCTTATGTTATCTGAAAATTGGAAAAGACGAGTGACGTTTATATAATCAATTTATCTTAAATACGCCTACATTTAAAAATATATTTCTATTAATGGTGTTGCTTTTGCTTTTTTGTAACATTGTCTCCAGGGTGCTTCCATATTATTTTGTACTACATTTCCTTTCGCAGTATACAACATTAATAGATCATGTTGCAATGAGAACAGCTGGTCAAACATACTTCTCTCTCTTATTAAGATTATGAATCAAAACAATTGAAACAAATAACGGAATGACTACAGAGCGCTACTTATATTTTTCAGATTTTCATTTCTTTATGCTTTATGAAAAAACCCAAATCCCTCTGAATGCATGGTTTGAAATGAGTAATGACCCCTTGTCGAAGATGGTATATACATATGGGAAATGAAAGTTCAATTTGATTGAATGCTTTCAATTTAAAGTCATTCTTGGGCTTCCGTACCCAAAGGCACTCACTACATATGAGCACAATTCTTTTTTCTGCCTGATCTTACCTTTCCATCTTCTCCCAGCCAAACCATCACCTGAAGAAGACAAAAGATGGAGACTTTAAATACACAATCCGCAAAAGACTGCTGTCACATGAAGAAGACACATTAGTAAATAACAGCGGGTTGATAACGGTAAAAATGCACCATCAAATGTACTTCATAACGCTTTACGGCTGCCATTCGCTGACATTTATATATCACTTTTTAGTGGTGGGCCAATGAAACGCTGGCTTTGAAATAAAGTCGGCCGTGATTCATGTCTCCGCTGTGTCAGTCTTACATTAATATTATGACCATATCCATCATGTCGGCCATCTATAATGAACAGATGCTGTAAAACACAATTTGGCATGACAAGAGGGAGAGGTGGAGGGAGAGCGGTTCATTCATGGCTTTTTCAGACGGCCAGTGAAGCTTACAGCAGCGGGAGACCCCACAAGTCAATTATTGTCTATTATTTGATTGCGAACCTGAATGTAAAGTGACAAGTCTTGTTAGAGACGAACAAGAAGAGCGTTTTAGTGTTTGCTTAGACTATCTGTCATTAAAATGAAATGATACAGATAATTGAAAGGAACACAAATCACTAAACAAAGGAACCATGATGTTAAACTTTTCATCAACCCATATGCTTTATTATCACAAATTGTCCTTGTGAATACAAACTGGTTTAATGTAACGCTGCTTTTTCTTTCTTTGATGTGTTTGATTCAGGTTGAACAACACAGGCAGGCATTTAAACAGTCATTAAGAAGCTGCTGAATCAATGACTCAATGACTGGGATAGAAACTAGATGCAGACAAAGTGGAACCTGCACATTTAAAAGGCTGTGAGTGAGCGATTTCAAAAGTGATGAGACCGGGAATGGAGGAAAAGTCAGAGGGCATCTGGTGGACAGGAAGAGAATGGCAATGAGAGGGGAAGTGGCTAGAGGGAGGGACGTAGAGGCCGAATGTGACATGTTATGACTCAGAGACTCAGGAGTAACTGGTCTAGCTTTCATATATATAACTGTATGTGACCACATACTGCTGTTTCAATGGTATAACTGCTGTTTCAATGGTATTTCAATAGAGTATATTGCAAAGTGAAACGCATAATGAAATCATGGATGTGTGTCGACGCATGCAGGTAAACGGATACACTGAGCTATAGAAAGATATAAAACAATGATTCAAAATTCCATTTAAGAAGAACAAAAGACATCTACTTTGGTTCCAGTGTATAATTTTGAGATTGAATCATGTTTTGTGCAGCCTATTGACCCAGTCGTCTGTCTTTTAGAGTTTTCATCATAAATCTTCCCATACAGGAAACTGAGAACAGAAGGTTCACATCACACCCGTCACCAAAAATACTCTCGAGCTCCTGCACTATATTTGACCAGCAGTGTACTATTTTGTGGCCAGGCCACATGCAGTGGTTGTAGGTGGGTCTGGATTTCTTCCATGTCTTCAGCTGGCAGACATTCGTCGTCAGTGCTGAATTCTCCTCTGTGCTGCAGATCAAACAGATTCTTACAGCACTTTGCCAGATTTGACGCCACGTCTCAGCTGTGCTTTCTACACAAAGTCGTTCTCCTACATCTGCTTCGTCGCCTGTGTGATAACGCAGGTGGCGGCAATCAGCACAGACTCTAATATTTTGAAGAGGAATTGCTGTTTGTGTGTTTACGCGTACGGAGAATGGCCAATAAAGCTAAAATGGGCTTCTAAAAATGAAGTGTGAGTAAAAGTAGTCTGTTTTGATGCAGAAATAACTGGAGACATGTTATTCTGCTCCTCAACGCTGAATGGCACAAGCTGCTGTGCGTGCTGCCAAATGTTACACCTAATGAGACTCACTTCATACATAAATGTCCATGAAAACTTTCAGTTCAGGTGAGATAAAGAGGGAAAAATGGTCCAATTGAAGCTTTTCTGTACACGGAAGGAAAGAAATGCGCCTGCAGGTAAAGTCATACTCAAAGAGGTAAATGGAAACCATCCAGATAATCATATTATGTGGCAAATTCCACCTTCTCCATGTCTAAATCCCACCTCTAACCCCCACAGTGCTCATTCTCTTATCAGGAAAACAGTTTGGCTCTTTAAATGCACTATTTCAAAAATGCTAATGTCCTAAATGTGTTTTCCCGAGTGATGGAGGTGCATATTTATCCCTCCCCTCGTGCCCTTTCATTTCCCCTTCTCGCCCCGTTGAAAATTACACACAGCCTTGTTTTGTATGCAAAGATACCTTCCCTTGCTCAGGGAAATTTTATTTGTACGCCGTCTTTCCCGCTAATGCAACAAATGAGAAATGGCGATCCGGGCCTCGGGAAATGCACAGGCCCTGCAACCGGCACTGTGATGTTTGAGCATAAGCCTCTCCTTTAAAAGAGCGTGTTGATTCTCCATACCCTAATATTGACCGACCGTCTCTGTTTGATGTATGCATGCCCCCCCCTTCACACACACACACACACACACACACACACACACACACACACACACACACACACACACACACACACACACACACACACACACACACACACACACACACACAACACACCACACACACACACACACACACACACACACACACACACACACACACACACACACACACACACACACACACACACACACACACACACACTGATAAACTCCCCCACTGCCATGCAAACCCCAATGTTTGGGCTTAACTTGTTAGTTCTGCTTCTGATGCCCCGAGATATTAGTGTACGATGGACTGTTGTGATGGGCCGAGCTCGTCTGTCTGCCGGAGAGTTTGCACACGCTCGCTGATGGGTGACGGATGGCTGTAGCTACTCGCAGCGCACACTTTGTCATGTGAGGGAATAGTATATCTACCATTAGACGACAAAGCAATCTGCATGCATATACTGTCCACGTTTTTTGGTCATCGCCTTAAAAAGTGTACAGGATTATTGTATTAGATTGAGTTTGTAGTTCATTTTTTAATTAGAACAGCTTGGTTAATATCACATTTGGATACAACTGAACCTATGTTTTGTTTGTTTACATCTTGTTGACACTACGCAGCCCATTACAGTATCATGTGCTGTAATTTGATTGGTTGAAAGGGCGATTTACCCAACTATAAAATAATCATTTTTGTTCATTTCTGTGATATGACACACCAGACTTACCTACATGCATATATTGCCCACGTTCTAATTGACTTTAAATGTATATGTGAATACTGAGCTGGGTTTAATTGGTTAAAAGGAGGATTTACAAAAATAAAAATAGATTTTTTTTGTACAGTTCCAAGATATAACTCCAAAATGTCAGCCTCCATCGTTATAACATTGAGGTGAAAGGGATTTGTAGTGGTGACAGTATTCAAAATAAGTTCAACAGCAATGTTTTTCCAGAAATATTGTTCAAGCTTCTTTGTAAGATTGAAAAAACACAACAGTGTGGTTGCTGGAACTACTATCTGCAAAATAAATACAACCATTCCAAGCTCCTGAGCTCCATCACACAATCGGCGCCACTAGAGGTGACTGAGAATTATGTATTTGTTGTATTTGGTCTTAACCATCCCCATAAATAACCTCCATGTACCAGGAGAAACTTTGAAAAGTGAAAGGCACAAAGGGAGGATATGATTAAAAGGGTTAGAATGTGGCAGCAGAGATACAAAATGAACGGAACACAGCACCTGCTCCATCACACAAAGCCAAGAGATGTACAGTACGACTGACAATGAAGACATGAGATAGTGTCATGAATATCTTAGTACAACGAGCTCTCTGTGCGCTTTCCCGATGGGATAGAGAGATGTTATTAAAGCAGAAATATCAACAAGCAAATAGGTATCTTCTTAAGATCGAAGATAATCCCCACTGAGGCTCTGCGGCAAGATATCGAGAGCTCACCAGGAACAATATCCTTGTTTACTAAAGTGTAAACCTAATTACTCTGAACTAGGTCATACAACTGCTACAGCGAGTAATGAAACTGAATATTAAATGGTGAATACTTCTGCATTTCCCATCCCAAATAGCACACTCATTGTTTTTACCTTTGCCTAAACTCCTCACAGACTTCCTGCCCATCTGTCATTTGTTAATCAAATCACCTGATGAGAGTCTGGTTGTGATAAAGAAGCAAAGAGGACGGGGTTTCTAATAATAGATCAGTTGACTTGTGGACCGCAGATGACAGGAAGAAGGGCCTGTCACGAGGAATGCCTTTGTTATTTTCCATCCAGGGAGGAAATGAGTTTCTTGTGATTTTTCAGAAACGCTGCCTGTGGGCGCAGGCGTCAGAGCTTCAAGGCTTGTGGAGGAAGACAGAAATAGTCAGTTCATGTGATGAACTGACTATTTCAGTTCTGGGTTTTGATGCAGAGGATCGGTCTCAAAGAGGTTGGACGAGCACGTGCTCGTGTTTAAAAGGGTTTGAAGATGGAGAGAGCTTCAGTGAGGAAGGCCCATCCGTCTCTTTGTCAAGTCCAAGAACGTATTGTGTCGTCATTTGATGTTCCTGTTGGAGAGCGATGAAGAACTCCCATCAGCTGGCTTTGAACGCCTCCCTTGATGCGGTAACTTTTCAACGATGGACTTTGATGAATACGGCCAAAATCTTGAGTTAAAGTATGTTGATGGCAAGCAGGTTTAAAGTTGTATCAGTATAGGGAAGGTTTCATCCAAGCCGTAATGAGCTGTTCTACTTAGAGACAGGAAGGTACAACAGAGAAACAGCAGCACTTCATTTAAATATGATGTTTTTGATGCACAGTGAGAGTTCAGTTCCTTTGTGCTTTTTAGTAAACTATTGTTTCTTGATACTCTTAATTGTGTTGAGATATCTCTATTGTAAACGGAGCAGGGTGGAGTCGTTCACACCGAAATTACAAAGTCAATTTCCATGATAATAAAATGTGTCCACTCGGTAAAGAGACCATGTGGTCTATGAAAGGACGGCCAGTTCCGCCAGCTCTTATTGGTGTAGTCTAGTTTGGCTGCAGCTCCCCTTGTTCTTGGAACCGGTATCAAATGGCACATGAACACTAT